ACCTGCCTTGCTTACAAGACCAGTGTCAGTAACCACTTGTCCTCTTTTATAGTTGCTTTTGGATTTTATTATTATAATCAAGGGGGAAGCGCTAAACCCGGAGGATTATACAGCGCCTAGGGGGGGGGGGATGTGGAAGGCATTCAGGCTTAATTCGGGGAACTGGAGCACAGATCCAATTCCCTAAATCAAGAGCCCCTCACCAACATCACGGAACCTTCCTTGAGGGGAGTTGCTTCTGGAAATTATTATTATAATCAAAAAGAAGCGCCAAACCACAGGGGCCATACAGCGCTGCGCTTCTGGAAAGTGTGGGTAATTTGTGAATTGTTTCAGCCTCAGTATTGTGACATTCTTGGGCACCTGTTTCTTGATGATCGAACTTCCACTACAGTCCTTGGGAGTGGGTTGTAATGGGTGATCTCAGGGTAGGAAGTTGTCCTGGACTACTCAAGCACTCAATTCAGAATGCTCAAGGTAAATTTTTAATCAAGTTTATCTTGAGATAAATACTTATAAATTCTGAAAGATATTACAGTTTTGTTTTAAGGGAGTATACCCAGATTGTTTTAAGGGAGTGTACCCAGACTGTAAGTCAATAATAACATGGGGGTGGTGTTATGTTCGCCATTAGACAAGTGACTTCAAATGTCCTATGAATATAGTGAATAAAAGAAGCATTTAATAAGTCACCGTTTCGCTGTGTAGAGTTAAGTCATGCACTGATACAGCTCCATCTAATAAAAGCTTGTTCTGGAATCTATCTTTTCCTCATTGTCTTAAACACTGAAGAAGACAGCGGGAACTATTACCTGATATAAGGTTATCTAACCCTTTAAGTCTATCCTTTATCCCAGCCCATGGGAACACACTCAAACCGTAATCGAGTCGAGATGTTGGGTTGGTTTCCTTATACCTGTTATTCCTCTACCTAGCTTGGCTTTCTTGGATTATCCTGTGGTTACTAAATCTCCCAAGATGATAATCCAAATATTGGCTCACTTTTCAGCTTCCCATTCCTGCTAGAATACCGGGCCAGTACGTCTAACATAATGGCTCTTAATAAACAACATTCTTACCTCCCTTTTCTGTTTTAGCTGGTATACCTGCATCTAGTATAGTTACCCCTTCGGTGCATTTTTTCGTGTAGAACTGTGGAGAGGAAGAGAAGGAAGGAGAGGGGAAGAACGGAAGGGAGAGAAGAGAGGGAGAACGGAAGGGGGAGAAGGGGAAAAACCGGAAGGGAGAGAAGAAAGTGGAAGAACGGAAGGAAGAAAGAGAGAAGGGTGGAAAATAGAAAAGGAAGTCGTGGCCATGAACTAAGAGTGGAAACCGAGAAAAAGGACAGACTGAGAGGGAAGAGAGAGAGAGAGGACGGAAGAGGGAGGGAGTAGAGGGGAGGGAGACCAGGGAGAAGGGAGGGGAGTTGCTCACTGTCTGACTCACATCTAAAAGCGACAGTAAACAGTCTTTTTCTAGTGTGAGGAGTACAGTCCACTGCTGACCCCCCCCGCCACTATATATACTTTTCTGGTGACACCGCCCACCCCTCCTGCTACTGCTGGTGGTGCTACTGCTGGTGGTGCTACTACTGGTGGTGCTACTACTGGTGGAGCTACTGCTGCTGATAGTACTGATGGTGCTTTTGTTGCAGTTGCTGTTGCTCCTGCCGCTGCTCCTCTAGTTTTTCATGCTGCTGTTGATTTTGCTACCTGCTGGTAGCAGGTAGCTCCTGCTGCTGTTACTGATCTTCCTGCTGGTGTTGATCTTCCTTCTGTTATAATCACTGCTACTGCTCGTCTGCTTGCTGCTGCTCCTGCTAGTGTCACCGCTGTTGTTTCTATTACTACCGTTACTGCTACCCTTAGTACGCCTTCTGCTGTTGCTGCTACTACTATTACTTATATTGTTTCTACGGTCCTTGATGTTGTTCCTGCTGAACTGTATTAAAACAACTCGTATTATTGCCTGAACACGGGACTTTCACCCCGAAAATAGGGGTTCGATCCCCGGTAAGGGTGGAAACATTAGGACGTGTTTCTTAATAAAACACCTGCTGTCCCTGTTCACCTAGCAGTAAAATAGGTACCTGGGTGTCAGTCGCATCCTGGTGACAAAATTTACCTAATTTGCCCGATATGCTTTGCATAACAAGCAGATTTCTATATAGTAGTATGTCACTGATGTCAGTTATGGTCTCTAGTCCCCTCAAGGGAGGTTCCTTGACGCTGGTGAGGGGCTCTTGATCTAGGGAATTGGATCTGTGCTCCAGTTCCCTAAATTAAGCCTGAATACCTTCCATCCCCTCAGCCCACACACAGGTGTTGTATAATCCTACGGGTTTAGCACTTCCCATAATAATAATAATAATAATAATAATAATAATAATAATAATAATAATAATAATAATAATAATAATAATAATAATAATAATAATAATAATAATAATAATAAATCTTTACGTAGCCTGGTGGTTAACGCTCTCGCTTCACACGGTGAGGGCCTGGGTTCGATTCCCAGCCAGAGTAGAAACATTGGACGTGTTTCTTTCCACCTGTTGTCTATGTTCCCCATCAGTAAAATGGGTACCTGGGTGTTAGTGGACTGGTGTGGGTCGCATCCTGGGACACTGACCTAAGGAGGCCTGGTCACAGACCGGGCAGCGGGGGCGTTGACCCCCGGAACTCTCTCCAGGTAAACATCTCCAGGTAGTACGTGTTCTTGTAGAAATAAACATTATCATTAGGTTAATCCATCAAGGTCAAATACTGATCTCTTGATCAAGAGTCTACACTTTTTTCAAGGAACACAGTTTTTTTTGCCTGGTGGCAACAGCTCTCGCTTCACACGGTAAGTTTATTCAGGTATACACAAATACAGTTACATAGAATTATCATACATAGCAGTATATGTGTAGAGAACCTAGGATAACCCAAAAAAGTCAGACTGACTTATTTCCATTGGGGTCCGGGTTCGATTCCTGGCGAAGGGGTGGAAACATCGGACGTGTTTCCTTACATCGGTTGTCTATGTTCACCCATCAATATAATGGGTACCTGGGTGTTAATGGATTGGTGTGGGTCACATCCTGGGTGTTAATGGACTGGTGTGGGTCGCATCCTGGGTGTTAGTGGACTGGTGTGGGTCGCATCCTGGGTGTTAGTGGACTGGTATGGGTCGCATCCTGGGTGTTAGTGGACTGGTGTGGGTCGCATCCTGGGTGTTAATGGACTGGTGTGGGTCGCATCCTGGGTGTTATGGACTGGTGTGGGTCGCATCCGGGGGTGTTAGTGGACTGGTGTGGGGGGCATCCGGGGTGTTAGTGGACTGGTGTGGGTCACATCCTGGGTGTTAGTGGACTGGTGTGGGTCGCATCCTGGGTGTTAGTGGACTGGTGTGGGTCGCATCCTGGGTGTTAGTGGACTGTGTGGGTCGCATCCTGGGTGTTAGTGGACTGGTGTGGGTCACATCCTGGGTGTTAGTGGACGGGTGTGGTCGCATCCTGGGTGTTAGTGGACTGGTGTGGGTCGCATCCTGGGTGTTAGTGGACTGGTGTGGGTCGCATCCTGGGTGTTAGTGGACTGGTAGGGTCGCATCCTGGGTGTTAGTGGACTGGTGTGGGTCGCATCCTGGGTGTTAGTGGACTGGTGTGGGTCGCATCCTGGGTGTTAGTGGACTGGTGTGGGTCGCATCCTGGGACAAAACTGACCTAATTTGCGGGAAATGCTCAGCATAACAACGGTCTTTCTATATAGTAGTATGTCACTGATGTCAGCTATGGTCTATATACCTTATACATGTATTTGTAGAAATAAAGATATTATTATTATTATTATTATTATTATTATTATTATTATTATCATTATTAAGCTTCCTTAACACTCGGATACCTACTTACCGCCAGAACATGGACAGCAGGTGTCCTAAGGAACACGTCCTAATGTTTCCAACCGAAATAAGTCAGACAGTTCCCAACAACGCATCAATTTTACTGGGTTATTTTGAGTGGCTAACTCCCAACAAAATCTTCAATATCAGAACAGCCGAATAAAACAGTTTATCCAAAAACATTGAAAACGGAACTATAGAAAATACCGAGACAGTAACTAAAACAAACTTTGAACAGTGATACGGTTTCTCGCGAGATCGTAATGACAGATAAGATAAGATTTCGTTCGGATTTTTAACCCCGGAGGGTTAGCCACCCAGGATAACCCAAGAAAGTCAGTGCGTCATCGAGGACTGTCTAACTTATTTCCATTGGGGTCCTTAATCTTGTCCCCCAGGATGCGACCCACACCAGTCGACTAACACCCAGGTACCTATTTGCTGCTAGGTGAACAGGATAGCAGGTGTAAGGAAACGTGTCGAAATGTTTCCACCCGCCGGGAATCGAACCCGGGCCCTCCGTGTGTGAAGCGGGAGCTTTAGCCACCAGGCCACCGGGCCACCACTCGACACGATTGCAAACAAACTATACCACGGGTGGGGATAGAACCCGCGATCAGAGAGTCTGGAGTTTTGAGACTCTCTGATCGCGGGTTCTATCCCCACCCGTGGTATGATTTGTGATAAGATTTCGTTCGGATTTTTAACCCTGGAGGGTTAGCCACCCGGGATAACCCAAGAAAGTCAGTGCATCATCGAGGGACTGCGCCTAATTTCCATTCGAGGTCCTCAATATTGTCCCCCAGGATGCCACCCACACCAGTCGACTAACACCCAGGTACCTACTTACTGCTAGGTGAACGGGACAACAGTTGTAAGTTCATTTAGATACAGATACACATAAATACAGTTATACAAATTATCATATGTATAAATTACCCACCAGGACAACCCAAAACAGTCAGACAAATTAACTAGTTAATTTAGCATAAACCCGAAAGGCTTTCGTGATAAATTATGTGGGTGAATTACACAGGTACAATCCTGAATTAACATTACACACACACACAACTTAGCAGAACTCTGGTACAACTAAAACAGATTACACTTACTGTTATAGTTGTACCTGGGAGACAGGTGGGACTTTAACCACAGTGGGTCACACAGTAGCAGCCAGTGAAGAGGGGGCCAGGAGCTGTGGCTCGACCCCTGCAATCACAACTAGGTGAGTACAGATATAAACATGTAAATAGTTCATTCAGGTATACACAAATGGTTACATAGATTATCACACATAGCAACATATGGAATAAGATCACATTAAACAGGTGATATCACAATATACAAAACAACCTGAGTAAAAATAGCGAAATTCCAAGCGCTTTCGTGACTTCTCACATTATCAAGGAACTATGATAATGTGAGAATTCACGAAAGTGCTTGGAATTTCGCTAATTTTTTCACTATGGTTGTTCTGCATATTGTGCATAGCAACATATATGTAGAGAACCAAGGATAACCCCAAAAAGTTAGTGACTTATCTCCGTATAGTTCTTGAAATTATTTAATGAAATATTTCAAACCAGTTCACTGGTTATATTACATCTTGTTACGACACTCTTAATATGTTGATCCACTGTTTTAAACTGATTATACACACCATTGTCATATTACGTAAAATTAATACAATTATCATAAGTGAATGTACATAAAAATCAAGACAACAAACGCCAATAAATAGTTATATTACCTTTAGTGAGAATTACATTATTCATCCCATGGTCAATACTTCATTCCGTTGGCACCGCGCTTCATTCCCTATTATCAGCATTAATCTGACATTTGCATTATACAGTTGTATTATTCCAGATGCCCTCCATATTACCCTATTTCAGAGTACCAAATTTATGCTGATACTATGTCGAGCAGTGTCGATTATGTCCGATAAATTACAGCACATAATACCAACGTACAGACGACGCCATTACCAGGATTCCTCCTCCATATATCTTCTCATTTAATTCAATAATACTTCCAGGTGTGCAATACATTGTCATTATTCGAATATTAATTTTTTTTTAACATTATAATAATTACGTTTTAACTGATTACCATAAAAAAAGAGTAAATTATAGGGGATATTGTTCCTCTGTGGCCTAACATCTTTTAAAAGTCACATCAACACTACACACTTAAACTATGTCTTATAAATATTATTATATCTCCAGTAGTTCTTACACACAAATTACAGGAAAATCAACAAAATTTTCCACATCTTTCTTTGTGGTTAGCAATATGTTAATACATGTAAACTACAGTTTGTATACTACACACAAAAAAAATTATTTTGACTTTGATTTGAAAGTATGGTATATTTCCGAACGGAAATATACCATACTGTTTGGCTCCATTGGATCAAGATCCTTACCCAGAGGTCTATATTGGGCAAAGATTCCACCAGGCTTCCTGATTTCATTTATTATGGGAGCCTAAGGACACCAATGGAAGAAAGTCACATTGTCTGGCTTGTTTGGGTTATCCGAGGTAATTTACACGTTACTGTGTATGATAACTGTTATTATGTTTGTCAGGAAACAGGACAAGTGTTTCCTGATGCGGGTCTTAGTTATATGATGACCCACAACTGGAGCTTTTGGTCATCTGACCGAGACCTTCCACTGGCTTACCACTTTTGATCCTTTTAGTTAGTTAGTTTAATATGTTTATTATGCACCCCATACCCATCCTGTGGGCGGTAGTCAAAAGATTACAAAGGTACATAATGGGTCCAGTGACTGGACCCCAAAGTTATGATAGCTGAACTAGTTACAAAGGTAATGAACTCCAGGTAGATCTGGTCACTAATCATGGCAAGTTACAGAGGTAATGAATCAGCTTCACTCCTATACATGGTTACAGTCATGAACAAATTACAAAGTAATGAACCACTGATACGTCCACACCTGGTCACAATTGTAATGAGTTATAAATACAAATATTAAGTGGATCATACACCCACACTAGCGCGCGCGCGCACATACACACACGAGGGCGCACGCACGGACATGTGCACACGAGCGTACAAATATATGCATACACACAAGGACGCACACCCACACACACACACCCACACACACACACACCAACACCCACACACACACACCCTCACACACACCCACACACACACCCTCACACACACCCACACACACACACCCACACACACACACACACCCACACACCCACACACGCACACACACACCCACACACGCACACACACACACAAAGAAATTTACACTAATGAAGAATTAACCCGAAAGGTTACGCCCATTTCATAAGATAAATCAGCCATTAAGGTTTGAAGCCATTCGGAAGAAGCATTCTCTAGATGTTTAATGGGAAATATTGCTGAACCATTTCGAAATTTTTAAAAGGGTGGAGAGGTAAGCCAGTGGAAGGCCTCAGTCAGATGACCAAAAGCTCCATCTGTGGGTCATCATATAGCTAAGACCCGCGTCAGGAAACACTTGTCCTATTTCCTGACAAACATGGAAACTAAATTCGAGAATGACCCAAGTAAAACTGTTCAATATGGCGGAAATTTTTAAGCTGGTCGAAAAAAGGTATTTTGAAGATAAATCATAAGACTTTGAAGGAAGTTAATGGAGGACAAGAACACTGTATTTATATATTCTTAATCTTAGTATAAATATAATCAATATTTATTATTAAAAATATTTTTTTAATAAATATTTATTATTAAAAATATAGGTTCCAGCTAGTTTACTGAAGATTTGAAAGAATTATATATATTTAACATTATATAAAGTGTAAATCGCACATTGTAACATCTGCAAAGAGATAAAATTATATTTTTATTTGTGTATTTTTTTGAGTAGGTTGTATCTGTGTGCCATTACAGCATCAACATGGAGAGTAAAATGTACAATGGAGACGTGTCGCTCTACGTCTGCCTTCAATATTATTGTTGAATATTGAGTATATGATGGGGACGAGCATTCATGACTTGGAATGATTGTTCCCATCATATATTTCCCGCTGATGGTCAATTTTTCTTTGGGAAGCTTGTAAGGTTGGTCGGGGCGCCATGCATCTGCTCCTGCTAAGTCTCACGAAAACCTGTTGCTGTTGACTCAGGTGGCGGTTTAAATAATTAATAATATTTAATATTTAATAATTAAGTTTATTCAGGTACAGGTACACAGAAATACAATTACATAGATTCAGACCATAGCTGACATTAGTGACATACTTCTATATACGTTGTACCGTTGTTGGGTTGGTAACGCACTCAGCTCACACAGAGGTCCGTGGTTCGATCCCCGGTACTGGTAGAAACATTAGGACGTATTTCCTTAAGACACCTGCTGTCCCTGTTCACCTAACAGTAAGTAGGTACCTGGATGTTAGTAGACTGGTGTGGGTCGCATCCTGGGGACAAAATTGACCTAATTAGCCCGAAATACTCTGCATAACAAGAGGTTTTCTATATAATATGTCAGCTATGGTCTGTATAATCTATACAAGTACCTGTAGAAATAAATATATTATTTTTGTAATAGTACATCAGGTATATCTTGTATAGTGATAGTTTATCTACTATCTGCTGCAGGACTCTAGTTCTAGTGACAGTAGGTGTGGAGGTCTGATAATAATGATTATGTTACTGATATTAATGCTAATAATGTTTCTCATTCTGCTGCTGCTGTTTATTCTGCTGCTAAATTAGATATATCTTGTAGGTATTTACCTGAGACTAACAGAGAACTCTTATCTACATGTGATCACATAAAAATAGTAAGGGATCGAGGATACTACCTTGAGGAACCCCCACATTTAATTTTTTTTAGGCACAGGTACATGTGCATTATCCACTAGGATAACCCAACAACATTGTATCAATCGCATCTGCTAGAAAAATGACAGGATGGATAATGAGAACCTTCAAAACTAGGGAGGCCAAGCCCATGATGACACTCTTCAGGTCACTTGTTCTATCTAGGCTGGAATATTGCTGCACACTAACAGCACCTTTCAAGGCAGGTGAAATTGCCGACCTAGAAAATGTACAGAGAACTTTCACGGCGCGCATAACGGAGATAAAACACCTCAATTATTGGGAGCGCTTGAGGTTCCTAAACCTGTATTCCCTGGAACGCAGGAGGGAGAGATACATGATTATATACACCTGGAAAATCCTAGAGGGACTAGTACCGAACTTGCACACGAAAATCACTCATTACGAAAGCAAAAGACTTGGCAGACGATGCAACATCCCCCCAATGAAAAGCAGGGGTGTCACTAGCACGTTAAGAGACCATACAATAAGTGTCAGGGGCCCGAGACTGTTCAACTGCCTCCCAGCATACATAAGGGGGATTACCAACAGACCCCTGGCAGTCTTCAAGCTGGCACTGGACAAGCACCTAAAGTCAGTTCCGGATCAGCCGGGCTGTGGCTCGTATGTTGGTTTGCGTGCAGCCAGCAGCAACAGCCTGGTTGATCAGGCTCTGATCCACCAGGAGGCCTGGTCTCAGACCGGGCCGCGGGGGCGTTGACCCCCGGAACTCTCTCCAGGTAAACTCCAGGTAATAATAACCAGGGGCTTACACCTTCCATATTAAATGTCATCCATTTTTTTTTTATATTTTCCTTAAATTTACAATTTAAATTAAAAATTTTAAATTTATTTTGAAATTTGTGTTTGGATTTAAACTTAAATTTAACGTCAAATATTAAATTTAAATTTAATATACTGCAGAAAAATAAATAAATTTATATTTGTATAAGATTTAAATTTAAGATGTGGTGAGGAAGGCGTGGAAAAAAAGTCACAGAAAATAAATCACAATTTTGGCTAGGAAAAAAGGTCACTGGAAAATAGTCACATTTTATTTAGGTTAGATTAGGCTGTGACTTTTATCTATGACTCATTTTTGGTGACTTTTATCTATGACTCTTTTTTGGTGACTTTTTTCCGTGACTTTTTTTCCTGACCTTTTTTTTCTGGATATGTGAGTATGAGCGTCCCTTAACAACCTCTACAACATGGAGACGAAGGTGATGGACGGTGCTGCTCAACCTGTGTGGCTTCTTGAGGCTGTATATCCCATCCATGACGCTAAAACTGAGACCGTGTACTTGAATTGTAAGTTTATATATGTTTGTGGTGAGCTTTGTTGCTGTGGTTTGTGTTTTTGTGGAGGAAAATTGGTTGTGTGGGGGTCCACGTGTTGCTGCGATGATGATGCCGGTGAGGCTCTTGATCCGAGGGTTTACATGTTCTTCCCTTCCTTGGATCAAACCTGATTGCTTCCCATTCCCCCAGGCGCAGTATGAGGTTTAGCGCTATTCCATAAATATGGTTGATGATATTGGTCCATGTGGGTTCCTTGATGCTGATGAGAAGCTCTTGATCCAAGGGTTTACATGTTCTCCTCTTCCTTGGATCGAACTTCATTGCTTTCCATTCCCCAGGCGCAGTATGAACCCTACAGGTTTAGCGCAATCCCCCTAATATGGCTGATATTGGCCCATGTGGGTTCCTTAATGCTGGTGAAGGTTCTTGATCCAGGGAACTGGAACTAAAAATTATTTAAATACCAGATTCTCATTCTTCAGGCCCAGCAAGAACCCCTACAGGTTTAGTACTTTCCCATAAATGTAATGTAAAACTATGGTGATGAAGTTAGTAAGGTTCTTCATCCTGGTAACTGGGGCTATCTTCCCCTTCCTTGGATTAAACTTGACTACCTCTGTCTTCAGGGGCTATATGACCCCCTTTGGGTTTAGTGCATCCCCATGAATATGGAATGCGGATTTTTTTAAAGCTTAAAGAAACAAGTGTTGAAAATTTAAGTCTGTTAAAATTTCTGGCAAAATGGTTTAACATTATTATAATCAAAAAGAAGCGCTAAGCCACAAGGTCTATACAGCTCTGAATGGTTTAACCAGAGCATATATTTTGAGGTACTATAAGGATATTGTAGGTTATGTATATATATATATATATACATATGTATTTTAAATATTAGCACAAGTTTACCAGTTGCAGAACTTGGTTCAGTTATATGGTAGTTATATGTTGATAAAATAGTTCAGATAACTGACAAGTTGATAAATTAGACAAATGTGCAATACTTTGATATCTTTAATAACGATACCCAAGTGTTGCACATGTCTAATTTATCAGCAGTATTGTAGTCTTTCAAGGTCCATTGGAATTGTCACATTGGCATTTTTGGGATATCCTAGGTAGTTACATTATAATTATATTTGTATACCTGTACCTAAATAAACTTAGCGTATTTCGCAGCTTATTAGACTCAATTATTTTTTTTTTTTTTTTTTTTTGTAAAATGTCTCCAAAAACCACCCTTCGTCCTATAAACTGAAGGTCAGTGACGGGAGCTATAAGTTTTGGGTATGGGGTGGGTTGTAGCTCTCCCAGTTACATCTGATGCAGAGCCATTGAAGCTAAAACGAGTCTTATAAGCCACGAAATATGGTACTTATTCTGTTATCTGTAGGTAGTTCTGAGAATTATCTTCCCCATGGCTCAGTTTCAGACCAGCTTCTGAATTAAGAGCTTAAGAAACAGTAAGTAAAAGTTTACAAGATTTACTTGTCATATTTACAGTTACAGATGCATGTTGTAGTGATACAATGACTACAGTAACACATGTAGTTGCTGACCCTCAGTACTCCCCAGGTATATGTGGTTTGAGTTTAATTTACAATTTATCAAGTAGAAATCAGACTTTTAGTACATAATGAACATATGTAATTTTAGAGTTTTTATTTACAGTGCCAAAAGAGGTAAAATTCAAGGCTCGGACAATGGTTTCTTACAGTAAGGTTTTTTCATTTGATAAAGTTTTCACAGCCCACTTTGTAAAATGCTTTTACTTTGCATAATGTGTTCATTATAGAAAAAACTGAATTTATTTATAAATGTAGATATAATGTGCAGTATGCAGTATACATTATGGATATAGTAATACCATTAATGATTTTGTAATTGTAAAGAATTAAGGCCCGAGTCAACTCTTCGTTTGTAGAACCCTGCAAGACGAAAAAAATCTTAAGAACAAAAAAAAATCATCATGATTCCTACACAATACAAAACCAGAAAAAAATCCACATTAATTTATTTTTACCAGAAATACGAATAAATAGCCGTGTAGTCTACATAAAATATTATATGCTTTTTGGTCAAAAAAGAAATCATTCATAATCTTCCTTTTTTTTCTCTCTCCACCCACCCCCACCCAACAAATCTGTTTTTGTTTTTACTGAAGTGCATATGTCAGTTTGAATACATCACTCCCTACTATTATTGCTTTCCTTCCTCCACCCCTAATCCCAACTTAGCATAACTGAACATTCTTGTAGGCTCATTTTCTTTTGCCGTATTAAAAGACTTTTGGTTGAAAACAAACAATCCGTTTTCATTCAAGATATACTCGGTGGATTTCCTACATTCAAATGTGTTTTTCTTGTAAAGGTCGGAATAAACCAGTCTAGTGATATTTGAGAAATGGTTAAATTATCAACTGGTCTTGAGCTTTGGGGATTACTTAGGAACAGATTTGTACCATATATAGAGAATTACTACTAAAATGGGGTCACCGCATAGTGAGGAAAATGTGTTCCTTATGCTTAGGCAATATTCCAGGTGTGAGTCACGCTGGCCCAGAATTATCTGAATCGACAAGCCTTGGTACATCCGTGGGGACCTCTGAGGCAACTACCTTTCAGCCAGCACCTGTTAACACTAAATGGTACATTTTTGTCAAGCGGTGAACTATATAGACTACTTTCTGCCTCTTCAAATGAAATAGTCCTGCGATCTGTCCCAAAAGGCTTAAAGGAGAACTGCTACTTTCTGGTGGACAACAAGGATAATGTGAAGCGTAGAGTGGTAGGCAGAAGGAGTGAGTTTCCTGATGACTGTGGTGTGTGGGAAGCAAAGAGTGCCAGCACTACAAAGACCTATTATGAATTAGTGAATGAAAATCTATTGTGTGTTACTATGCGAAATGAGAAATATTGCCGACTGAAGCAAAAAAAGTGGGTGCCAGTGAATCCCCAGCCTTCTCATATTGTAACATTAATCAGATTTTATAGCAAGCTTAAACGTGACCATAGTTTCCAGAAACGTGTTACCTGGTTAGAAGGCACAGATACTGCTGTATGGGAGTATTTAGGCAAGTTTCCAACTTGTGTGTCATATCATGGTAATACCAAGAATAATTTTCGAGAATATGTTCGAACAGATCCTAAGATTCTGAGTGCTATAGCTGACAAAGTTCACTCAAAGACACCACAACAAATTTACAATGACTTCCTAGAGGAGGATTCCACTAATGCTCCCCGTGACACTAAACAGATCCACAGTGTAAAGTACAAACTACTAAAGGCATCCAATACAGAGGGAATTAATAAAAAGAATCACATGGCCTATGCTCATCCTGTGCTAAACATGTTAAATAAAAATCCTTTTGTCCAGTATGTAACATCTGGTAGTGGGAATCCACTCAGTGTGATTCTGTACACTGAGGATCAAATAGAAGACATAAAAAGGTTCTGTTGTGATTGTGATGAAACTTCAGTATTTGGCATGGACAAAACTTATGACCTTGGTTCATGTTTTTTAACCCTAGGAGTATTCAACAACAGAGCGGTGATTCGAAAGTCATCAGGAGAGCATCCGGTGTTTCTTGGTCCAGTATATTTGCATTGGAATAGATCATATGAAACATACTTTGATTTTTTCTCCCATCTCAAGTCCAAACAACTTAATCTTGGTAATTTGGTTTTGGGCTCTGCTGAGAAGACCATGGTGTCAGCAGCAGTGTCTTGCTTTCCTGAAGCTGATCGTATTTTAAACACACGACATATTGAAAAAAATTTGAGAAGACATCTTAACGAGAAAATTGATCTGAGTTCAAGTGAACTAAAGTGTGTTGAGGATGAGCTACTTTTCAGTGATGATGCACTGATCAAGTGTGATGATGAATTTGATTTCTACAGGAAAAGCCTCGACCTTGAACTCAAATACGAGCAAGCCTTGCCTGTACTTGTTCCATACTTTCAGAATAAACTTGTTCCTGCTATGCAGAGAATGATCGAATCAAGGCAGAGGAAAACCTGTCTTCCCAAAAAGTGGATTAAATGCTGTGAAGCCATGAAGCTCGTCATGAAACTAATAAGGATGAAACATCAGAATGTACCTGACATGATTGGCAAGCTGCACACCATTGTACGTCTCCAGTATATGGATGTTCGTAGGGCTCTTCATGACCAGGGAAGTTGCACCATCTCCAGTGACTTCCAGCATCATGTAATATCTGATATCCTTTGGGCTTCTAAAACCTCAGAAGAAAAAAATCAAGCATATTGGAAATTCATGAAAAGTAAGATTGTAGTTGAAAAAGAGAAATAACTCGGTTGCCAGAAAATTTGTGATGAGGAAATGTCAAGCCCTGGTTATGTGTAGTTATATTTGCTACTAGTGCTACTAACTTCTGTACATTACTTCATATGCTAAATCCCTACACAATATTTATAGTTAAATATTACATGACAATATACAGTATTGTAGTATAGTGATAACTTACTTTTGTAGTATGAAGGTATTTGGTAAAATTAACAAGTGATGAGCACAAAATACAAGTCACAGTTGGATCTTTTCACAGAATGTAGGGAACAAGGAAAAATACCAAGGAATGTGAGAGTTTTATGTTTAGGACACAAAGTATAGTGGATTAAGATATCCATTGAAACATGAGATACCTTGTCAGTGATGGCACTGGCATTTTTTCTTTTATTTTCAGGATATTCTTTATGCTCATCTTTTAAGGCAGGTGAGATGATCATTTCTTAAGAACCATTGGTATAGTCTCAAAGCACACTTGGAATTATTATATTTGCTGGATTAGCGACAAGACAGATTTGTAATATACACGTGTCAACAACCTAGCGACTAGGGTCAAAAAGGTCAAGAGGAATAAACACTGATAATTAACGATGCCATCAGTACAGTTCATAAAAACTTATTATTTGTACATAATTTCAACCTTTAACCAGAAAATGCAAGAATTATCACTGGAATAGAGGAGACTTTGACAGGGAATTAGACATTCCCACAGGAGGTCGCTGAATTGGGATTGCTATGTGAGCTACTAATCAATCATTTGGCAGAAAAGCCTGAACTCTCATTCAGCACGAAATTCTGAACTTACATTGAGCTGGATATGCAGCAGTCTTAAAAATGGTGCCAGGTAGGTAATCCAGTTTTGCTTTATTGAATAATGGTTTTATTTTTATTTTTTTTTTAAATGCATCTTTGCATCAAACAAACTTTGAGTGCTTTTATCTTTGTAAATTGAAGGTTGGGATTTTTTTTTTTTTTTTTTTTTTTTTTTTTTTTTTTTTTTTTTTTTTTTTTTTTTTTTTAATTTTAAGAAAATGTATTTTTTCAGCCTCCTAGGACATACACACCACATAAACTTTGTCACCGGAAGATAATATAAATGTGATTAAGAAATTTGTCCTGCATTGGCAAACTATAGAATAGCCTTCACACATTTGGATAAGGATATGTTTAAAATTATATTTATAACAAGTAAAATTTGCCGTATGCAGAAACTGTGGTCCCCACACCTGAACTTAATGTGGATATATTAAAGGGTTCAAAGAAGAGTTAGAAAAATGGCAACCCGGGGCAAAAAAATACAAGTTATTTTGGGATGCCTGCATGTCTATACTCTCACCGCCTGTGTTCCCCTCCATGATGCTTTAACCCTTAAACAGTCCAAACAAATCGACGTTCAAATTCGTATTGCTACAAAAGGAGATCTACTTTTTTTAACATTTTCATATGTAACAAAAAAAAAAAATGTAGATAAAAGTGTTCTTTACATGTTTTCAAATGGAAAACAAAAAAGATCTACATTTTTTTACATACTTTCAGATGTTGAAAAAACGTATATATACGTTTGGACCATTTAAGGGTTAAGTCAGTGTTGACAACCTTTGCTGTATGATAACCCTTTCAAACTCTCCAAAACTACTGTAACATCACCTAAAGGTGAAGCACATTCATAATTATATCTTCATTGAAATAGTCAAGTCTTATCCATGCTTAAATGTTTTCTTTGTACAAAGGATTTAAGCCAATGATAGTATTATTATTTGAAATGTTTAAAGCAAAATGTAATTGTTTTTCAGGTTGTCCCCCGGATAATTTCATCTTGGCTAGTTGATGACTCATGATGAATTCTTTGTGATGAGTAAATGGTACTGGACATGCCTAGGTAAGATACAAATTTATTTATTTACTGCAACAACATGTTCATGATGATCAATCTTTCGGGGCTGATATAAAATGAAGAAAGATCTTACTGAAAGTGTCTTTGTTATATATTTTAGTAATTTTTCTTACCTCGTTTACAAATTTTTTATTTATATTTCAGATTGTGGATTGGAATGCTCCTGTAAGCCTATGGGTGTTCTTTATGAAAACTAAACAACTCGTTTGGATCGTATTTTAGAGTATTGAAATGTACATTATGTCCCAGACTTAAGTTGCTTTATACAATATACATCAGCCATGTCTAGGAGTACACAGCAGCAGTATGGAAACCACACGTGAGGAAGCATGGTAAGAAACTGCAGTGAGACTAGTTCCTGAACTAAGGGGTATGGGCTGCCAAAAAAAAAAAAAGCTGAAGGAATTTAATATAATTACCCTGGAGGATAGAAGAACCAGGGGTAGAAATGATGTGCAAAATACCCAAAGGAATTGATAAGGTAGGCTGTTTGAAAGGCAGGAAAAGGGTAAAGTAGGGTAGAGTAGCAGTAATAGTATAAGTAGTGCAGCAGTGGCAGAGGTGGCAATAAGAAGATAGCAATAGTAGTGACACGAGTTAGAGAGGAAGGTGTTAGTGAAGCAGTAGTAGTGTAGGTAGTCTATGCACAATAGAAAAAAAAAGAAGTATATCAGGAGAGCTAGTGGCCCACGTGGATAGAACAAAAACTCAAGGCAAAAAAGGAAAGGTCCCAGTCTGACAGAAACGCCTTCATAAAATTCATTCTCCTATTTGCGGGTTATTTGTATTTTGTTCCAGTCACTGTACTGTGCCTTTTTATTATTTATTCCTTAGGCTAAAGGTTAAGTAATCACCTTGTACCGTTGATATATTTTGTGGTGTGACAAGAAAAGTTTACCATGACTTTGCCTCCTTTGCTTACCACAGCTTTGTGTCTTATCATTGCTGTAAATATATTGATGGAGGTATAACAAATGAAGACTGAGCTTAAACCCTGGTGTTTGCTTTCATCAGGCTGCTTAGTTTCCAGACACTCTTGAATATTGATTATGATTGTTATTGGATGACAGGAATTGCTTAGTTATTTATTGATTTAGATACATTTGCATGTTAAAATTTAACGTTATAATAACAATATAAAAAATTCAACTTTGCCTGCATTTTCATTTAGTGACTGTTCTTTAGTACGTATTTATTAATTTTTTAATACAGTGGCCGTCTCCCACCGAGGTAGCCCCCCCCCCCCCCCAAAAAAAAAAAAAAAAGTCTTGCAAAAGGAATGCTGACATAACTGCTCAGACCCCTCCAACTTCAATTGAGAGTGCAAATACTTTGTTTTCCACCTCCAGAACTAGTCTTGCTAGCTGTTTTCCATGAATCCCTTAATATGTGCAAGAAAGGTATAAAATACCGACAGTGTGTAAGTTAAGACACGTGCAACATTTAGATATTTTATTGTAGATGTTTTGCCATCAATATTGATAAAGCCACTGGATGGCGAAATGTCTACAATAAAGGTATCCAGATGTTGCACATGTCTTAAATTATAATCCCTTAATAAATGTTAAATTGGCTCCCACTCCAACAGCATGTTAAGTCATAAAAACCACTTCCCTCCAGTCATATCTAACATGCTTGCACATGTCCAGGCCCCTCATTTTAGGTTGTAGATTAGGTACTACTGTCATGCTAAACGCGTGTGAAACAGAAACCTATAATTATTTTACACAATGGTAGATTGCTATTGTCTTATCTAATAAATGCAAGATAACAGGTGCATCTTGCTACTACTCCTTATACTTAGTTTATATTAATGCATTTGTGTGTATCCAAACCAATATGAGTTTATTTTTTTCTATTTTCTGAACAGTTTTGGTTTTTATACTGTTTTGTTTTGTCTCACGAGAAAGTGGAGAAAAATCCTGCTTACATGCTCCATGCGTGTCATGAAAAGCAAGGGGCTACTAATTCCTTCTGTATTAATTATTAAATTTGAGAAGACCATTTTATTATAGCAAAGGAAAATGTATTAGGGATTTTTGATGTGCAGGTACTGCCAGAATTGGAAAGAAATAATAAACAAAAAATAAGAATGTTGGGATATGCAGATTCCTCTAGTTTGGCCAAGTAAAAATTTTCTAATTATTTGAGGGCCACTTTGTCAATCATTTCTGCATTTGTTGGACAAAGCTGGAGTGGTAACTTAAAAAAAAATGTGTGTATATTAGACATTTGTTAATTTTTTTTTTTTTTTTCTCAACAAGTCGGCCGTCTCCCACCGAGGCAGGGTGACCCAAAAAAGAAAGAAAATCCCCAAAAAGAAAATACTTTCATCATCATTCAACACTTTCACCACACTCACACATTATCACTGCTTTTGCAGAGGTGCTCAGAATACAACAGTTTAGAAGCATATACGTATAAAGATACACAACATACCCCTCCAAACTGCCAATATCCCAAACCCCTCCTTTAAAGTGCAGGCATTGTACTTCCCATTTCCAGGACTCAAGTCCGACTATATGAACATAACCGGTTTCCCTGAATCCCTTCACTAAATATTACCCTGCTCACACTCCAACAGATAGTCAGGTCCCAAGTATCATTCGTCTCCATTCACTCCTATCTAACACGCTCATGCATGCTTGCTGGAAGTCCAAGCCCCTCGCCCACAAAACCTCCTTTACCCCCTCTTTCCAACCCTTTCGAGGACGACCCCTACCCCTCCTTCCTTCCTCTATAGATTTATATGCTTTCCATGTCATTCTACTTTGATTCATTCTCTCTAAATGACCAAACCACCTCAACAACCCCTCTTCTGCCCTCTGACTAATGCTTTTATTAACTCCACACGTTCTCCTAATTTCCACACTCCGAATTTTCTGCATAATATTTACACCACACATTGCCCTTAGACAGGACATCTCCACTGCCTCCAACCGTCTCCTCGCTGCTGCATTTACCACCCAAGCTTCACATCCATATAAGAGTGTTGGTACTACTATACCTTCATACATTCCCTTCTTTGCCTCCATAGATAACGTTTTTTGACTCCACATATACCTCAACGCACCACTCACCTTTTTTCCCTCATCAATTCTATGATTAACCTCATCCTTCATAAATCCATCCGCCGACACGTCAACTCCCAAGTATCTGAAAACATTCACTTCTTCCATACTCCTCCTCCCCAATTTGATATCCAATTTTTCTTTATCTAAATCATTTGATACCCTCATCACCTTACTCTTTTCTATGTTCACTTTCAACTTTCTACCTTTACACACATTCTCAAACTCATCTACTAACCTTTGCAATTTTTCTTTAGAATCTCCCATAAGCACAGTATCATCAGCAAAAAGTAACTGTGTCAATTCCCATTTTGAATTTGATTCCCCATAATTTAATCCCACCCCTCTCCCGAACACCCTAGCATTTACTTCTTTTACAACCCCATCTATAAATATATTAAACAACCATGGTGACATTACACATCCCTGTCTAAGACCTACTTTTACCGGGAGGTATTCTCCCTCTCTTCTACACACCCTAACCTGAGCCTCACTATCCTCATAAAAGCTCTTTACAGCATTTAGTAACTTACCACCTATTCCATATACTTGCAACATCTGCCACATTGCTCCTCTATCCACTCTATCATATGCCTTTTCTAAATCCATTTGTTAAATACCTTAATAAATATTGAAGATTGGGCTGTGATTTTTGGACAAAAAGTGTAGGGAGATGCCA